TCCTTCTCTTTCACTCCAAACACGCAGGAGACTATCAGTTGGTTGATTGTTTAGGAGATTAATCTCACCTCTTGTAAACCCAAGTTGCTCACCAAAAATACGATAGTCATTAAAGAAGGGAGATTCTTTATCCAAACTTTGACACATTGTAAAGTATATTTTCCCAGGAATATTGTGAATAATTTGTTCCTGTTTGTCTGTCTTGGATATCTTCACGCATTTGCAGCAGACAGAAATATCTTGGGCTTTGCTTGGCACTTCCACAGTAGGTGCCAAAGGCAGACTGTTTACTTCATTGTATCCATTCTGGGAATCAGATGGCATTTGTTGAGTTGAGCAATTAGGGGAAGCATTAAATTTTGCATCATTCAGGGTGCTGCTTGCACCTTGGACCTCCTCACACAAATCAACACTCTGTACTCCATCTGCTAGAGAGCTATTTGAAAAAGAAATTTGTGCTTCACTTTGGGATGTGGTAAGGATTCCTTTCTACTCCTCCACTGGCCATGTGTACCTTTCTCTAGGAGAAGGTGAATTTTTTCCTTGTAGCAGGCCCAAGGGTTCTTCAATTGATAACACCACAGTGATCTGAGCTTTCTGAAGCATGGTTTTCATCTCTTCAAAAGAGAGCCCTTTAACTGATTGTCTGTTGACAGCTGTTATCTTGCATCCAGGACTGAGATATGGACACTTGGCCGCTGGTGTTTCTCCAGCTGCAATTTGCTTTATTATTGGGCATGGTTGTTCTAGTTGATTCTGTGCAAAGAAATTGTGTACATCTGCTCTCAGCATATATGATAAGGGAAGGTACAGCCAGAGAGAATGGGGAAATACAGTCTGAAACATGATGCTAGACTCCCTTCTAGGGTTCCACCACTATCAGAAAACCTGATTTTCAGCTCCCCCCCCCCCTTCCCCCTGTGAATACTTTATTCTCTTTCCCTTTGTTGAAATGTGTTGGAGCAGGAGTAAAATGTGTGGACATGAAGATGTGAAGAAATGTTTCATCTGGTATTTTATAATGATTTGCTAAATCGGTTGTGATAAAATTAGACTGAAGTAGATGCATGTTTATATCATTATGAAATAAATGAATTGGTGATTATGGCCAGGAAAATGTTGATGTAGATGAAGAAAACACTGGAGAAGTATCAGAAAGATAGCATTTGATGTGGGATGATAAAAAAAATTGGAGGAATAGATAGGAGGAAGCAGTAAAATTTGAAAATCGTGACAAAATTAGTTCAGGATGAAATGAGATGTACATATGAAGAAAATGCATCATCCAAATAATTTTACGGTGAAAATTGCAGGTTTAATAATTATTACCTTGGCAAATACAAACTTAAAACCAAGTGGCTCTTTTGAACTTTTCTTTTGTAACTCAGCTTGAAGTGGTCTCCAGTCTAAAATTGCTGGTGAGTCAATTGCAAGGCTGGTAAGGTGCTCTTAAAAGGATAATGAGAACACCATATTATTAAATGTTGAAGTAATAACTATGATATGGCTCCTAACTGGCTAACTGCCCAGGAGGAATAGAATACCATTCCTTTAAAACAATGTGCTTGCAACAGTTAAATGACCTGTGGATGAAATAAATATGAATAACTGACCCTTATTGCTGGCCACAAACTACAACTAAAAGGAAGTTTGAACAATTCCAGGCATCCATGTGATTTGCAACTGTGCCAGACTATACTTCAAGATATGTTTGCAGTTGAGTGAAAGTCCATTTTTCTGTAATGAAGTTCCTGAATTTGTTGGTTTGTCTTCAGCAGAATGAACAGGTTTGTGAACTTCATCAATATTTTCAGTTTATAGGAAACAGGAAGTGGGTTTAAACTCAATGCTTCAGGAAATTCTACATTTCCACGACAGTATTTAATCAATATATGGAACATTAATTTTTGCAAAAGGGAAACATACCATTCTGTCTCCATTGCCTCTGTTGAATTGTTACTTTGATCTGCTTTTGAAGGTTCAGTTGGTGGACAATTTTCTGTAGTCCTTCATATGTTTCATTCTCAAGTTTACGTTCATTGATGGAAATGACAATGTCTCCATGTTTCAATTTTTTGTGGTTGAAGTCTGGTAGCTTGATGTTGTTCACCAATGCATATGTTTTTTTACTATCCTGGAAGTCCTGAAAAATATTCAACAAACACATTAGCCACTCCAATTCTGGGAATCTAAATACCATCTCTTTGCAATAAACTGAGGATTAGAGTTGAGTGTGTGTGCATGTGTTGAGGAGGGGGGGGTTGTGAATATCTTTTCACTTGCATAATTTCCTGTTTTGCTTACTTAAGACCCTTTCTTTCTAAACCGTTTCTCCCATCAGTATCACCCCTAAAACCAATAATGAGGTTATGAGAATAAAGGAAATGATCACCAACAAAAGAAGCTCTTGATTGTTAGGCAAATTCTCTTTGTCAGTACCATAGGAAATATGTAGAGAACAGTATAGAGGAAATGTATACTGATGATAGGACGTGAAGGGTTAAGTTGGGTAATGTGAAAGGAAGAATAACTAATACCTCTATTGGGCTTATGCTTGTTGTCAAGGAAAATAAATTGATGCAATAAGGTTAATTTATGTCAAATAAATGTGGATATTTTGATGTGGGACATAGAGACAGGGCATCAGACCTTTATAATCTTATAAATTTGTATGTGAGTGTCTTTTAAGAAAAAGTCTCACAAAAGTTTCAAACAGTTTTTTTAAGGTATGAGTTAAACTTTGAAAAATTTAAGGAGAGGTTAGC